AGGGACTTACTTAGTAATTTTAAGCAAGGATGTTAGACAGTCTGAGAAAACGATCCCAAGCTCTATCAGTATCCACACGCACGTGACTGGATCGCCCGCAGGGAACGTGCTAGCGTTCTCTTCTCTCTCTCTCTCTAGGTTTTTAGATGTGAATTTTAACTCTTAGAATTTGTGGGTCTCCTTAGCCCTATTTATAAGAGGAGGAAAGAAGGACTTTTATAGCTAATAAAACTCTCCTGGAGCCTTAGCCCCATACCATTCGAATACCTATTTTGGATTGGGCTAATCAGGCTATTTTAATGTTATTAACAAATATTAACGACCCAAATTCCTTAAATGTGTGACCATGTATGTTTATATATCGTTGGCAGTGGGCTGGAAAATTAATTCGAGGCTCACAAATCATAAGCGGCTTCTAGCAAAGCATTATGACTATCCAAAATATATAAATGTCTATTAAATTTGATATAACATTTTAATGATTAATTTTTGCGAATAATTCTCTTTTGTCAAACGATATTTTAATTGAGACAAGGTTAAGTCGTGTCATCCTTGTTATTCTCAATTAATATTTCTTGATTACCAAGTAAGATTAATCTTGAACAAATGACACTTCATTTGAGCATGGCCATGCTGATTAATCTTACTTGTCAAAGGGCCCAATAGATATCTTTCTCTCGCTATACGAGAGTGACAAAAACTATCTTGATAATTCGCATACCATTACATGGTTCATAATATGTACAATCACCACCTTTATAATTACCCATTTAAATATAACATTTAATGGTGTTAATACATATTAATTCTCATGTAAGTAGCCATGATTATCTCAAGTATAAGAATATAGCACCTCAACATTATCGAGGACAACACTGATGACATACAACCTAGTAGTGTCCTCAAGTTGGGTCTGTCCAATGAACTTTTTCACTAATAAGCATCTATGTTATTAACTTGATATCTCTATACTCATGACTAGTGGAATATAGCCATCCGTTAATCCACATACTGGTCTATTAATTAATAATGTCCCAACTTAATAATATTAGACCAGAGACTATTAGAATATTATGCTTATTTTAAAGTGTAGCATTCCACAATTAAGTCACGTACTTAGTTAGCTACTAAACATAATATTCAGGGACTAAATATTAATAAAGAAAAAATCACAATAATAATTATCATAAAATGAGTTTGTGACTTTATTAATTAATGAGCATTAGATATCCATTGATAAATCATAAACTATCAACTTTTATTATAAAGCACTTTTTCCAAAACTACTTTAAAAAATCATTTTTTAAAGTAGAAGCAATGCAAATGGAGTATTAGTCGGTGTTACCCTAGCGAAAGCTGAGGGATTTTCTCTCGCTGTTCTGCGTGCGGCGCTAATTGAAGACGGAGCACCGCGACGGAGGCCGAGAGACGGAGCAGCTTTTCGAGCCGGAATGGAGGCCATCGAGGACGAGGCATGAAGGGAGCTTCGCGACCGGGAGAACGAACATGTGGGGGAGATTGTCGAAAGATGCAAAGGGCTGGGAATCGGGGGTGTGGACGATGAGCTGCTAATTGATGATGATGAAGACGTGGTCGCGGCAGAGGAGCCAGAGAAGGTAAAGGTTTTTCCGGTGGTTGGGACGAGTCTCACAGATAAAGCTACCCGCTTCCCGTTCTTCCGAGGATTCATGGCAGAGTTATGGCGCCCGGTCAAAGGGATGACTGTACAAGAAATCGGCGAACGAAGGTATCTCTTTAAGTTTTTCACCCCATTGATATGAACCGGGTCCTGGAAAATGGACCATGGCTGTATGACCAGAGTCTGATTGTGCTAAGAGCTATTAATCCGGGGGACATTCCAATTAAGATGGTGCTAGATGAATTTGAAATATGGGTTCAGGTTCATAATGTACCGTATAGTCTTGAAAACTTGGGTACGACAAGGAGAATAGGGAATTTTCTGGGGGAATTTGTTAGGTGGGATGAACAGAAAAATAATGACAAAAAGGAGGCTTATATGCGGGTGAGAGTTCGAATGAATACTGCTAAGGCCTTAAAAATTGGAACCACTTTAAGGAAAAGCAAAGGTGAAGGGTATTGGGTAGATTTTAGGTATGAGAAGTTGCCAAGTTTCTGTTTCTGCTGTGGAATGATTGGACATGCAGAGAGATTCTGCCCTCTGCTGTATGAAAAGGATGGACAAGCCATGGCCAGACCTTTTGGGCCGTGGCTTAAAGCTAGCGGAAGGAAGGCGAAGTCAATCTTGGGCAGCAAATGGTTGATAACAGAAGGAAGCTCTTCTGGCGGGGAGCCGCACATGACACAGATGATGAGGCCAGATCAGGAGGTGGTGTCCGATGAGACAGGGGAGAGTGCTAAGACAGGTGGGGGGAAGGCCGGGGTCCCAGGAGAGCTTGATGAGGATGGGATGACTGGAGAGCTGAAGAGAAGGCGCTTGTGGGAGGAACAAATAAGAGAGGAAGCGGGGAAGGATGCTATGGCGCTGGACTCTCCAAAAAACGAGGAGGGGGTGGGTGCTGGCCCACAACCCCACCAGAAGATTTGATGCCGATTTCGGCTCTTTTAGCCAAAAGACTTATGTTATTTTGTTTTGTGTTTTTTTCACGTTATGGATATTATTTTTGTTTTGGGTGTGCTGTGTTTTTCCAGCAAAGATACTTATGAAACTGATATAGGAGCTGATGTGTCGTGTCTACAAGTCATTAGCTCAGGTAAGCCCAAAGCGGGATCAGCGAATTATATGGCTTCTACGGAGGTGATTAATTCTGAGTCTGGTCCTTGGGCGGACGGTAGACAGGAAACTTGTCGTCACACGGTTACCTATGGCAGTTGCTTTTGTGTGGTCGTTTTGGTAATGATAAGTTAAGCCAGTTTCGTTCAAAAAAAAAAAAGTAGAAGCAAACGTAAAGCCACCATAACTTGTCCCTTTGCGGAAGGGCACTCTTAGATATGATTTAGATAAACGTAAATCATTTTAACTATTTTTCATATAATTTGTTCTTTATTGTATTAATAGATATAGTTTAAATATTGTTTTTTATAAATCAGCAGAATTAGCCAATGCAGCCAATTCAGTCTGAAATTCATAAATTTCAGCAGACTCAGTCAATAGTGGTTAGAATATTACCAAATGTGTTCAAAGTAAAACTCAATTTATTTCCTTTTTAAATATCTTATGTTAGTCAACTCTTCCAAATTAAATTGAGGGAGGAGAGTAATAAACTTTCTAAAAAGAAATTGGTTTCAACTTTCAAAGTTTCAAGGCGGTGGAATTTTTATTTTTTTGGAGAAGAAAGTCGGCGGAAAGTTATTTATATATGCCATTAATTAAATCGAGAGGGAGGGGAGTAATAAATAAACTATCTCAAAGAAATTCGTTTCCACTTTCACAAGCGGGCACAGTATCTGCTTGCAGGGGAATTGCAGAGGAAGAAATAACGACTCATTCATCCAACCTAAAATCATGGGGAATGAGAAGGCGGGGAAGGGGAAGGCTAAAATAGAGATAAAGAAGATCGAGTCTTTGCAGGCGAGGAACATATGCTTCAGCAAGCGGCGTCAAGGGCTGTTCAAGAAATCGGAGGAGCTCTGCCGTCTATTTCCGGGAACTCGGGTCGCGGCCGTCGTCTATTCGCCTGCCGGGAAGCCATATTTTCTGGGAGATCCGTTCGCCGCCGCCGCCGCACTCCTCTCCCAAGACAAAGGCGGAGAAGAAATTCAAGGCGGCAGCGCTCTTCCTCTCGGCTCTGACTGTGAAGGGTTCGTGAATTGCAATGCGCTTCCTCTGGCATTTGGTTGGGAGGGTTCGAATCTGAACGAGTTTGTGGATTTCCATGGGTGGGATGAAGAAGCACTAGGATCACTTCTCATGAATTGCAATGGCCCAAATTAGCCCTGCGGCACTTCTGTCGATTTCCACGGGTTTCTGCCTCTCTGACCCGATCTAGTCGGGTCCCAATTTTGTGTACTCTAATGGGGTTGTCGTTGAGCAGTATATATTAATTACGATTAAATTTTGATTCTATGTTATCATTCCTCCATCATTCATAATCTCTTACCCGATGCTTACCTACCTGATCAATCTGACTCACAATTCTTTTTTTTCCTTCAAATTATTACAGTATAATTCTTGATCCAATTCTCACAACTCAAATTGAACTCAATTTCACTAGCTAATGCTTCCCATATTATAGGTAAAAATTTGAAAAAGTTCATATTTCATTTATCTGTTCTCTGAGATTCTAATTTGTTTTTTGACCAAATTGTGGTTCTGGAATACTCAAGTGTTATATATAGAGAGGTTCATTGGCATCAATTATTCAAAGTGTTTAGTACTCTGTATGATTTAGCTTTATCTCCACTGTGGGTTCTAAACAATCATAAAAGGAAGTAAAGGTAAGCAATTCTATTTTGTTCTAAATTGAGATTTTTCTGGATTTAGAGAGTGAATAGAAAGTAACATACTCTTCGTTCCCAAGTAACTCTCAATGTAAGGGTTTCACATAATTTAAGATACATTTCTAGAGGTATTGCACACTTTAACACTTTATGGCCTTGAAGGCTTGAAGTAGCGAGTACAAGTTGAGCAAGTTATTTGGGAACAGAGAATTGAAGTATCATATTGCACATAACGCCAAATACTTGTAGAAAACAAAAATAAAAACACAAGCATCTAAAATAAGAATTTGTTGCAAATACTCCGTATTAATTATGGACTAGAAGTCTAAAACCAAAAAGTATAGAAGATTCAAACGTCAAGCAAACCTAACATGTAGGACACTCAATGATACTCCGTATACAGTAAATACAGTATTTCCTTAATTTTCAACTTAATAGCTACTGACAAAACATGTGGGATACGTAGTAGATGAAGAGAGTGAGGTAAAATATGTAGATTGAGAAAGTAAGTAATTAGAGTTAAAATAATACGGCGTAATAATAATAATGTTATAGATTGAACTATTGAAGTAAAAGAAAGGTTAAAATTGATCGAATCCTGCATTTTGGAACAAGCTCAAAATCGAAATATGTCCTTATATATTACTTTGTGGAGACTATATTATGGATAAGTTGCAAGTATTTCTAATATGATATCATTATTTGAATAGGAAACACATACATACATAAGAATAAGTAAGAGATACTAGTGCACATTTATGCACAAGTACGTAGTATTATTTGATAGACACTAAAGTCGAAAATCGTGATCGTGATTAGTACGTAGGTTGAGGCGGTGGACCTTCCAAGCGAATATAGTCATACATCACTCCAACAAATGGGCTTCCACCTCTGGACTGCTCTATGTATAGTGTGTTTTCTCCCTTCACAAGTTCGCCTCCGGAAAAATTATATGTGTGCTCCGAATATTGCCCGTGAATTCCGTGTCTCGCAATTGCGTTATCTTTCCACAGCCCATTGATTATGAAGTTGGGCCGTCCATGTTGCTTGTTTATCCAAACCTGTACATTCCGTCACCACATTTTATATACTCCATAAATATATGAATTCATTATTATTAGCTCTATACATATAGGGAGGGTCACTCAAAAAAATGATCGGAGTTATTAAGGGATATAATTACATACTAAAATATTGGCATAAGAGGAAGAAGCTAACGCAATCCGAAGTGTATAAGTCCCCCTTTCGCTCACATCATTCAGCCTAAATACAATTTTCCATGTGGTGGATTCATATGCTTTGTTCCTTCCAACTCTGCGTATATATAACCAATTGGAATTTCTAATTAATTCCATGATTTTGGGTGCCGAACTTTGATACAATCTTCCTTAAAAAAAAACTTTGATACAAACTTGATTTGATTTTTTTTATGCGATGAACTTTCAGTGACATTGCACGTATTTATTAAAATTAATATAAATATTATCATGATAGACAGGATTAATCAATTGGTCTGACTTTGGTTTCAATGTTTCATAAGAAATAGGAATGGATAAAAGGTACGTAGATCATAGAGTTGACTACCTATTCACATGTGCGAAGAACCAATCTTTTCGGTAATCACTTTGGCCAACTGTGTACACCAAATCCTTGTCAGGGTAATAATCTGTATAACGATCCCATAACCCATATTGTCTAAACCTGTTTTCATAAAATGAAATTAGGGTTAATTATCTGTTTAGGACTAAAAGAGGACCGATGTTCACATATAGGACCAAAAAACAAAAGTATGTTTCATAGGACATATAATCACCTGCTTGGACAAAAATGCCCCCATTAAATTATTCTTTGAATTTATAAATAAAAATCTAATGAAACCTAATTCTCAACATGAGCAGTTCCCCGACCTTCGGTGCTGCTACAGCCTGCCCACCGCCTCCTTGACGCCGCCTGCCACCATCTCACCGGTGCCTTCTGCCGCCGTCTCGCCGGCGCCGCCTGCCGCCGTCTCTCCGGTGCCACCCTCGCTAGTACTGTCTTCCTCCAGCCTCACCGCCGCATCCAAACTAGTGTGACCATTCTTTGCCGCCCACCTGCCACCACCACCACCACCACCATCCTCCGAGCACCACCATTGTGAACTCCAGGGCCGCCACATCACCTCCGGGCACGACCGCCACCGTCACAACTCCAATGCCAGCAACTTCCAAATGTTTGGCATATTTAGTCTAAATTAATTTCAAATCTGCCATGAACATGGATTTTGAATTTGCCACATATTTGGCAGATTTATCTTGGAATAATAATTGAAAACTGCCATAAATTTGGCAAAAACATGAAAGGAATTAGCAAATGTTCGAAAAAAATTAATGGAATAAAAACTCTAATAGAATCAGAAACACGAAGTAAAAGGAAAAAAATTAGAAAAGCCGATTTACTCAAAAACTATTTCTGCCATAATCCGATTGTCATTATACATTATTTCTGCCACAAACTTGGCAAAATTCTATGCCATCATCCAAAAATCTGGAAAATAAAAAATGTTTAAATACTCAGAAATCAAAATACGAAAATTTAAATTTGAAAATTGACAAAATCAATGTAAAAATTATCCAAAAAATCAGAGGAATGTAAATTACCCTAAAAATCATAGAAATACCAAGAAAAAAACGAAGAAGGTGAAGAGGAGGAGGAAGATGAAGAAGAAGAAGAAGAGAAGAAGAAGATAAAAACCTGAAATATGGAAGAAGACGATTTGGAACTTGGAAGGGAGAAGATGATTTGCAGAGGTGGTGAAGGTGGAGGCAGCGGAGGTGGTGTGCAGTGGAGGCAGCGGAGGTGGCGTGCGATGGCCTGCAGCGAAATCACGGGTCTGGAAGGGAGAAGACGATTTGCAGAGTAGATCGGTGAAGATGAGTGCGGTTTTTGAGCCTAGAGAAGTGTGATCCATTTGTGGGGAGAGAAAGTGAGAGAGAAGAATAAATAACTGCAGGGGTAAAAATGTGATGCCAAATTCTCTATGTTTCATAATAGGAGTAAATTGGTCCTATTTTGGAATAAAACCATAAGCAGTCCTATTTTTGAGTTTTACCTTACTTTTACTCCTATTTGGAGTAATTTCTCATGAAATTATAGCCTAAAAATGAAAGAGGTCCATCGACTGAATTAAACTCGATAGATCGAGTAATTAAACATATTACTTTTCGTTTTTGTGGTTGAGGAATAAGGTGTTGACGAGGTGAGGATCGGGATCGGGGATGAAAAACTCGGATGCCTTGCGGTCGGGGATTCCGATTTCCCATAAGGTTGGACCGTTCCTTGGAGGATCAAATACAAGATCCCTTAGATCAATCTTGTCTCCTGCACCAGCCCAATTAATTACTTAATTAATTGGCAAACTTTAATTAAACTCGGTATAGACGCCCCTCAATTGTAAATATTGTGTTAAATGTGGTACTTTGAAGATGAAATGAACAATGTGGGAGATAAGTACATTTCACAACTTAAAGGACCACATTTACAACATCAATATGACCAAATGATGGGTGACATTTATAATCTCGTAAATGCAAGTCTGATATTTTAATATAGTGATTATTTCAGGGACTAAAAGTGTCATTCTCCCCGGTTTAAATAATCAAACCTGGCTTGATGACAATTAGATGGTTGTATTTGTAGTCTCCAAGGATTCCGGGGACCCAAGCATACAAGTTGTAGATTCCAGGTCTAACTGCGTTGATCTTGAACTCTCCCTTATCGTTTGTCTCTGTCCAAAATTGATATCCCTGAAAATATACATAAATATTATAATCAGCGGATGGACTGGCATGAAATATTTACATGGTAGCTAGGGCTAAGTCGTTTATTTTCATACTTCATCACAATTCCAATATTCTATGATAGCCTTAAAAGTTGTGTATGTTTTTTGTTCATTACGAAAATCGGCCTTCAAAAAACGTGTTATCATCAAACACATGCATTTCCATTGAAATATACTACTCCATATTTTTAATGAAAAGTTCTTATCTAGAATTTTCAGTTCAAAACAACATATTGTGGTGGGAAATTCCTTAACATGACGTGCTTAATGCGACAAAAGTTAATCAACAAGAATTGATTCCTTCGAGATATAATGCAAAATTAAAGTGTATTATTTGAAGAAATGAAACAATTAAGTAAATATTATATTATTACTTTTATAAAGTACATTCATTAATTAATATTACATCTAGTCAACTAGTAGTCAACATTTTTTTGAAAGAAGATAACTTATAATGAAACTAATAAGAGATAAAACAATACTCCCTCCGTCCCCCTAAGTTTGGGACGGAGGGATGTGGTGTGGTTTTTAAGAAAAAGTGGAATTGTGTGGTTGGTATTGAATTGATAAAGTGCAAATAAAGTAAGAATGAATTCTAACCACTCAAATGTTACCAAATATGGTATGGGACAAACTTAGTGGGACGGACGAAAAAGGTAAAACGGGACAAACTTAAGGGAACGGAGGGAGTACAATAGTTCAAGGCTACACTTTAATGAGACATAGACTCAATTAGCCCTCAAGGACCGATCGTATTCGCTAACCCCACGATGATGTAGATTAATCTAACAACACTGCTGAATTTTCTACTAAAATGGGATGTAACTAAACAAAAAATATTTAAATAAAAGCAACAAAGAAAAAGAAGCAACAAAATGAACACCATATCCGAGACATGAAAAAAGAAACAGAACACACAATCACGAGTCCAAACATATGTTAGGATCCCTCCTTAATTGGAGAGGTACGTTCTAGAAAATTGTAGAACTTTCTAGATAAGTATAGAATTTTCTAGAAAGTTCCGGAGAATCCTAGAGAAGTCTAGAACTCTCTAAAAGTTTGTGGAATAGTGTGGAATCCTCTAGAATATTCTAGAGATGTGTGAAATCTTCGGGAAGCTTATGGAAGAGTATAGAGACTCCTAGAGTGTGTGGAGCATTCTAGAGAATCAATCTCCACCCTTGGATAGAAATCATCCCCACAATTCATTGTGAAGGTGGAGTAGTATAAATAGGAGTAGAGGCCTTCATTCCTAACCATCCTAGCCAAGAGTGAATCCACTTCTAGAGTGAGAAAGTTAGAGAGCCTCTTTGAGAGAGAAGAGAGATAGCTTGGGAAGACATCATCCTCAAACTTGAGTGAGCCACCATTGAGTGAGACAATTTTGTAGCATCCTTGTAAATCCTACTATTCTTTTGTATAGTGGAAGAATCTTCATATTAGAGAATTTAAATCGTGTGCTCCCATTGATACCTTATTTCCTAAGTGCCTATCTTAACTTCACGAAACGGTAAAGTCCGGAGTTTTTCCCAACAACACGTTCTCAATTGGAACAGACCAAACCCTTGGTCAGAGAACACTCAACCGAACAGAACAAACATGGAGAAAACCTAACAATGAAGAAGAACAACAACTAAAGCACACCTAAATTGCGCACGAAGCCCACAAAGATACCGGACGAAGCTGATGTGAATTGTTAATTTGTTGTCGCACCCATAGACACGCTCCAATCTTCTCTATCGTTGGATAAATCGGAAGTTTATGGCCAGGGGAGACCGCTGCACTCTCCTAGGGTTTCTTCTTCGCTCACAAATTTGGGCAGAGGGAGTAGTTAACCACTTTGTTTTGATTTCACCATCTCATAAATTTTACTTCTTATATATATGACAATTGACAGTTCATCACTTTCTTTTGATTTTTGTTTCAACATTTGTTATATTCTTCATAGAGTGTTAGTCTTTAATGTATTGCTCTTAATTAGTAAACCTTCCTGCTTTGCAAATATGGCTCTCAATACCATCTGATTTATCTTATTTATTATGAGATAGATTCTTCCTAGAATACAACTCAAATAAAGTTTATGTACAAAAATATGATCAAAATTATTATTTACATAACTTCATGGTCACTACGATATAATATTATTGAGCATAACCGAAATCATTAAGATTTATGAATATGATCAGTTTGAGTAAGGGATCACATTTTTATTGATCAACTCTATTTTAATCTTAATATTTCATTATTAGCCGATCAATTTATTTAGAAATGGTTTGTCATATGAACCTTGACATCTCGTTGCCATGATCCAGCATCCCCCGGAGGGGCCAACCCAATGTGTGCAGATTCTGCCTCTACAAACCCTGAACTTAAAAACCTACACAGATACATTATCATCAACACATACATTATATTACATACCCATTCAGCAACATACATACAATGATAATAATGAGCGCATTCATATATAGAGTGTACGTAGATTAGTAGAATACCAAAAATAAAAAGACTGAAATGTCACCTATCACGAACTCGTAGTCGGCCTTTAAGTGTACCCCGAAAATCTCTATCAGGGTAGTGGTGTGATTTCAGAAAATCATAGGGCCAATTTATATTTTCTTGGGTAGCCTGACACACAAAAATTAATAAATATATTAAGAAAATTAAAACAATATCTTACAACAATCTAAGTACAAAATAACAATAGGTTGATTGAGCGCACACATAATTTTTAGTTAAATGAGGTTTTCTAAATACAAATATGAAATAAAACTTATTTACAAATAATAACTAATAATTACGACCAGTAGTATATTATAGTGCCATATATGGTCATTTAGGTATAACAATTTAATGTAAATCACTACGACTAAGTTACTATTACAGTCATTACACATAAGATGTCACATTTTTGTAAAGAACCTTTATTTTAATCACATATATGTTATTATTCCTAATATTTTCCCATTATCAATGAGAAATAATGGAGAAAGAATGTATATAAAGAAAACTTATGAACATATGCATTATGCTTAATTTTTTTCAAATGTTTTAATATAAAATTTTTCATTTTTCATATTAAGCACACTCCACTAATGTTTGCCAAATACAAGTATTCCACAGCGAGGTCCTACATAATCCGCCTCTCGAACTATACATATATAATTAAGACTAAGTATATATAGGTGGCTATGATTGCATGTGTTGAAGAATGTTCAACACAAGACATTTAATATAATTAATATCAAAGGTTTTATAATTCATTAATAGAATACTAAACGATGATCGGTTTTAATCAAAATTAATTCTTTGAAGAAAGAAAGGATGATCACCATATTCTGAGCGTCTCTCCAAAGGTTTGATGGGTTTTTGCTTGAGTCTGAATTGAGGTATATAAAAATGGGACCGAAAACCTTTGTCCAACTCTCCCCATTTCGCAAGCTTAGTGTAAACCCTTCACCTGTATAATGATCGCTAAAGAATACCTGAAATAGGGAAATGTATATGCAGAGTATATATAGGCTAAGCTAACTCAAAAGGCAACATATGGTAATTCTATAATTAGGAATAAAATGTTTCACATTTCTTCAAGTAGGACAACTATTGTATTACTTTTTTTAAAATAAAAATCATGTACTCGATTTAAACAAAAAATTAATATATAATTGCAGAGCATCTTCAAAGGAAGCTCTTCTCATAGTTGTGGCTTTGCAGAGTCAGAGTAGTGATTTGGGATATATGATGGTGGATCTACATAGCCATCTAGACCAACACGGATAAGAGGAGTGAACTTTACATTCCAATACTGAAAAATTGGATGTTGGGAGTTTTATGGGATCGGAAAATAGGTGGTTGATGTGAGAGCACAAATGAGTGTATTTTGTTGTGTGTGTGTGTGTGATGAGCATTGTGAATGAACCAACAAAAAACTTGCATTTGATTTTTTTGGTTATCTAGATACAATGAAAAGATTTTATTTCTTAATATTAAATACAATGGATATACTGTTGTATATATAACATGCAAGACATAACTACAATACAGTTTTTTAAATATGAATTGCACCTACCTAACTATGCAGAAGACTATATGCAATATTTGTGGAGAGGATAATTACATGTTCAAAGGTAAGCTAGCAACATATATCTACAGTAAATAAATGAAATGTTTATAGTAATTTTATGTTCTAATACAACTCACTTGTAGGGGGTTGTATATACCGAGAAATGATAAATATATAAAAGTATTAAAAATGTTCTAGTAAATGTTTGATGTGCTATATTTGATGATCTTTGTGACGTTCCAATTCGTTCATGATCTTGATTTCATAATCTGTGTTCCATATTTTTAGTTTTAATTCCCAAAATATTTAGACGGATATAATATAAGTTTAACATTAAATTTACAAAATAGATCAGAAAAGTATATCACAAAATTGAAATACTAAGTCGCAATACTAATATAAGAGACACTGTGAAATATATGGCAAAAGGGAACTTTCAGCAAGATAGATTTAAGTTTCATGTATTCTAATAAAACCTAATAAACTTGAAAACACTAAAAAACTGTAATTACATATTCAATTTAAGTATTAAATATAAACACAGAATCATATACAATAAAAAAAATATGAAAACAACTTATAATATAAATAAGGAATATTTTAGATTGATATTGCTTTGTTTTACACTTTTACTTAATTAATTGGTTTATTCAAAAGTTATTAGTAATCTTAGATTAAAGATATTTTGAAGTTAAGTAATATTAAGGATATACATACCATTAAAGAAGTTGGACCAACATGAGACGTAAGATCTTGTTTTATTGGGCCACCTGAAAGGAATTCACTACTACCTGTGATGATCCAAAATCCAATATGGGGCGCTGGACAAATCCATCCATGTACTTTAATGTCTTTATTTTCTAAAGAATATTGGTACTTATCATCCACCTAAATATAAAATGATTAAGAGTTCATAATAGTTTAGCAACATATATGTTATATATATATTCCACATGCATTTTTTATAAAGTGCACCAGTTTGTAGTAAGTGCATCATAGATGAAACAAAATGGTATTGGACAAAAGTATAGGAATAAACAGTACATACACATGCAATGCACTTATAATACAAAACAATGAAATTTTGTGAAGAATTCTTGTACCGTTCCAGTGCATTTATTTATGATGTTGTCACAACAATTTTTATTTAAAAAATATCTAATTTATCTATATAAAATGGTTGATGTTCTTTACATTATTCTTACTCATCATGGGTTCACTAGTGGAAACTGGTCGATTTGCAACACATCATAAGCGGCGGTTCTATAATAAACGCCACAAATTTTAAAAACAATTCAGGACACGCGCGGCGCTTGCTAACTACACAACCACCTCCCTTTTTTAATTTATATTTTTAGAAAATTGGCGGTTGTCTAGGTAAAAACCAGAGCAAAAATTGAAATCTAAAAAGAAACCTGCGATTCATGTTTGTCCATTCGATTGCGCTTCCTAGTGAAAACCGGCGCAAAAATAAAAAACTTATAACGACAACAAAAGTTTGTGTCCAATGGGAATTGAATGGAAGAAGATTCATGTTTGTCCATTCGATTGAATATTATATCAAAGTCAGTATGAAAACTTGAATGAATGCCCAAGATGTCATCTCTCACGATACAAGAGAAAGACTAGCACAAATGGTGCCAGTGAGGGTGAAAATAGTAATACTCCCGCCAAAGTTTTATGGTATCTTCTGATGATTCCATGGTTTAAGAGGCTATTTATGAATGAAAATAATTCAAAGCATCTGGTGTGTCATGCTCAAGGCAGAAAAAGAGATGAATATCTACGACGTGTCAAATTCTCCACAGTGGAGACAAACTGACTTGAAATATCTTGAATTTGGTCAAGAGGATAGAAAGTAATATGTGGATTGCATTGCACGACATGCATTGTTGTACGACTAAGGGTTGACCACTTTACATTTGCACACATATATATTCATGCAATGGATTACCCTTTCAAGTCCATTAAAATGAACCTTTTGTTTATTTGATTATATATTTGTTAGAGGTGGTGTAATCAATTTTGACAAATCAATCAATATTGTTAGTTATGTTGATAGCGACCAAGCAGGAAGTATTGATAGTAGTAGACACACTTGTGGATATGTTATCTGGGTACCAATACGGTTACAAGGAGCTCAAAGAAAAGTCAATTGTGGTGCTCTCTACTATGGAAGATGATTCGCTGCATCTTATGCAGGATGTCAACTAGTTTGGTTGCGAGGATTATTGGAAAGTCTGAAACATAAGAAACATAAGTCAAAACCACCTTGTTTTGTTACAATCACTCAACAATTTTAGTTAAGAAGGATCTAGCTCTTCATTGGAGGACAAAGGAAATCTGCTTCCGATATCATTTCTTGAGAGAGATTGTGAATGAAGGAGAAATTTAAAAGGAGTATTGCAAGATCGAAGATCAAAAGGGGCCAATATTTTTACAAAGTCGCTCAGTGCACAAGTCTTCAGAAAATGGCACTAATAGTTTGGGAGTGGGAAGAAAGATTAAATTAAGGGAAGCATTATGGTTGGATAATAATTAAACATGGAAGTAATAAATTAGATTTCTTTTGATAATCCTTGTAAGTTTCTTGGTTCATTTAATAACCTAGAAATATGACAAGTCTTTTGCGATTTCTGGATTAATAATTTACATATGAATATGAAAACGGTTTATAAGATGATGTTGATTAGACTATCCCCTCCATTGTATGAGTCTAGTAGTCTGATGAATTGAAGTGAAGAAAATAAATTATTCTACATTAGAGTCTCCTTATTTTCCTCCCACCCTCTACAATATATAGGTGTGACACACCCTTCGGAACAATGAAGATTAGAGATATATGGTATTACCTCCCCTCTCAAACTACTATTGGATGGATGCGTTAGTAAAGCAGCTTCTTTGAAGGCTAGTTTTTCACCGGATTTCCGATCATTTGCAGTTGGCATCACTCTTTGCAAGTCATCTGATATAGCCATATAACTAAACCTACATATACGCATTTATAAATAAAATATAATACTGACCTTTGATCACCAATACCTTTTTAATATGAGAAATAACCCCATAAATAGGTTTAGTATATTTAATGTAACAACTCTTAATTCATATTTGATAAGATAATAATATACAGTGTGTATAGTTTTTTAAATAATTTATTAATCATTTTTATATTTTGAAAACATACGAACTACATATGATAATAATATTTCAAAGATATTTATAAGTTAAGATTGGATACAATTCTAATCACATAATAAGTCCTAATTCATAACTGTAACAAGACATCTTCAAAAATTAACACCATCTACTTAATAAAGATTAAGGCCGTTCACTTGAATATAGTTCAATAGAATTTGGATAGTTTAATTTATGTTTCTTTGTAGAGAAACTTCATGGTGAGCATTCCAACTTAATTATAACTTATCTTACCATATTAATTTCTATGGTAGGATCGATTTACCCATTTCGATAAAATTCTCAGTGGCTTAGCTATCCTTGAGCTTTTTTACCCCCAGACTAGCTTAACTACATAGTTCTATAGTTAAGTAGCTGACATATCCTTCTTATTAAAACCAATAGGTGGTAAGGAGGTAGACACACTCTATTTAACATATTACTCTGCAGTCCCATCAAGGTAAATTCCAATGAGGCACCCCCACAATTCACTGCAGTAGTGCAGAGCCCACTACTGAGCGGTAGATGGACATGAGGAGTTGTCCACATCGTGGTGCCAACAAGTCAATCCTAATCAAATTGTTATGCCCCGAATCAAAGGGTAGTGATGATCCTCCATAAGACCAACAATCACCCAAACACCAGCCTAGAGATTCACCTACGACCTCGCTTTGATAGCACTTGTAGGATCAATTCACCCCTTTTGACAAACTTCACAGTGAGTCACCCATTCTTGGGCTTTCCTACTCTCATGCTCGCTTAACTACAAAGTTCTATGGTTAAATAGCAGTCATATTCTTCTTAAAACCAAATGGTGATAAGTCGGTGGACACCATCTATTTAATAAATTAGCATGTTGTCCTTGAGTCAAGGTAGATTCCTGTGGGGCACCACTCACAGTTCACTACGGCAGTCCAAAGCCCACTACTGAGCGATGGATGGACATGAGGAGCTGCATCACATCGTGGTTCCAGGAGGTTGGGCCTAATCAAAGGGTTATGCCCTTAATCAATGAGTAACACTGATCTCTCATAAGTTCATTATTGGTAGCTCCAATACCTTCAAGCTACATGGTGCTTCAATGCCAATATCCATCCATTTAAATGGGGCTAGATAGATTTCAAAATCTAATTCATTGATTGTTCTCTAAATTATCAAAGGTTCAATATATTTTCTAAGAAAAATAATTGGAAATGATCTTACAATATCAAGTCGAGACTGAGCATTTTTTTCTCAAATTTATTTAAAACTCTCAAGCATAGTCAAGGTCAACCAAATACGATACACTAGTTAATATATGTTAACAATATTATCTTCCATATATAAAAATAAATTGGGAACTTATAAAAGTATCACACTTTTTGAAGATGTACAAATTTTCTGTCTTAAGACCATATATAGATCATATGGAATAGTAACAGTTTGATCACTTCATCATTATTATCTAAACAAAAAGTACAATGCCAATAAATGTTTATTCAAAATCAAGATATTTTTCTTATAGGTAGAAATATATTTATATATTACTAACTTACTACTTCAATAAACATGCATTCTTTATAGGCTAAATGGTCAAATAGGCCCCTGTTCCCGTCCAGAATGCTCAATTCGCACCCTGAACTCTAAAAAGCTCCAATTCACCCCCTGAACTCGACATAAAAGTTCAAATCTCACTTCTTACAGGTAAACGTCCGGTCACCGCCACGTCACCCAGTCAGATGCCAACCGTGCATCCCACGTGGCAATTTAAAGGGTCAAATAGGCCCCTGAACCCGACAAATTTGTTCAATTTGCCCCCTCAACCTTTAAAAAGAGTAAGAATTGAAAAAAAAACTAAAAAATAGCAAATTCATGTATAAAATAAGATACAAGTCAAATGTATAAAATATAAACATCCTATTAAATAATATAATAAGGATTTGTTCATATTCGCGGTAAACGCATAAAAATAAACCAAAATAATTTCATTAAAACTATTTTGATATTTTAAATCTATTTAAAAAAATAAGTAAACAATACATACATTTTTTTACAAATTAAAATTAAATATGTTTTTTGTGTATTATATGTAATTATCGGTAATAAAAAGTTTTTTAATTTTTCTATTTTACAATTTATATATTATATTTATTTTTTAGAGTTGTATTTTTCATTTGATATTTTTTAATATTTTTAATATGTTTTAGATTATATGTAAAATTACACACACACATGCATATATGTATATATACTTCGTATTATTTTATTCTAGAATTATATACTATAGTTCATACTAATTATATACACCATAAAAAAATATACTATATAAAAACTATTATGCGAAAATAGCTATTACATTTTTATACTACATATTATGTATTTAAAAATAATTTATTTTCATTATATTTATATATATTTAATTTACCACAAAATATAAATAACTTCTTATTATTTTATAAATAGACATCTATATTTTATTATGAATTTGTATATTGTTTTATATTTTTATCTTCTATTTTTTAATTTCTTATTTTTTTTAAAAGCAATTTGACACTTTTTTAACGGTTGAGGGGCTAAACTGAACAACTTTGTCGGGTTCAAGGGCCTATTTGACCCCTTAAATTGCCACGTGGGATCCACGGTTGGCATCTGACTGGATGACATGGCGGTGACCGGACGTTTACCTGCAAAAAATGAGATTTGAACTTTTTCTTCAGGTTCAGGGAGTGAATTGGAGCTTTTTGGAGTTCAGGGTGCGAATTGAGCATTCCGGACAGGTACAAGGGCCTATTTGACCCTTTAGCCTTCTTTATATTGTCTAGTATTTGGAAGCGGACATATAGGTGATTAAATGACATAAGCTTAGCTAATTAACCAAGCCATATAGGTGACTAAATGAAGTTTTTACGAGATACTAGTTAACAACTTAGAGATGTGTACAAGAACATACTAAATAATGAATGCGTGGAAGATGATGTATTACTATATTTTTTGGCAAATAGTATTACATTTATATTCTGTCATGCGGCAAAAAATGGTCTGATGTGAGAGAAACATTTGGTGGGGTCACATGGGTAATTCAAAGATGGTCTTTCGCATCTTGTTCTTAAAAGAACTAGAAATTAGTGGCCACATGCATGTTTCATTTTGGATTCAAACACCGGATTGGCATATACATGAATTGCACTGAAGTTATCAAACAATCCCATAGGGGGTATGCAACACATGATTGAGATCCATCCTATAGATAGTTTAGCGGCTATGTATAGAGGAAGCAATGAATTATTATTCATTTTCGGTAAAGTCTTGACCAACAATGCTTTGCTTCTAGGAACTCCAACTAATGAGATTGCGCCATAAAATGTAGCGTATGCAAATGTGTAATGATGAGCACTCAAAATTAAACCAATTTGTAATATCATACAAATTTGTAATATAATTTGTAATAATTATAACTATAATGATAATGAGGAGGCGATTTTTGTGAATTTCATTGGAGGGTTAAGTCCCTATAAATATATAATACAAAGTTCCTATATGAATCTATACAGTAATAATGTTCCTAAAATATTCAAGAGTATATTCCTAATATGTGTGTGTGTGTATTATGCCCAACTTGCTACATACACAATTGTACCATTTATTGCTTTAGAGATCACTCTTTTTATATCTTCTCTAGAGTAAAGTGACAATCAACCTCAATATGTTTTGTTCTCTCAAGAAACACTGAGTTATTGGCAATGTGTATAGCGACTTACCATAGTTTCACAGGCATTAGTTTCTTCCATTTGATTCCACTTAATAAATGATTTATCTAGACTATCTCACATGAAAACTAAGCCATGACTCTATATTATGATTCAGCACTAGAATGAGAAACCACATTCTACTTCTTACTTTTCCAGGAGACTATGTTACCACCAACAAAGATACAATAGCCCAATGTAGATCTTCTATCATCTTTAGGTCCAGCCCAATCAACATCATCTTCAAGTAACATAGTAAATGCTCTAACGCAGTCCAATGATCAACTGTCCAAGATGTCATATATTGACTTACTACATTCACTGGGTAAGCAATATCTGGACAAGTAACTGTGAGATAACTAATCTTTCAACTAATCATTTATATTTTTTGGATGTTTGAATGGCATACCTTCGTGATTGAGATGCAAATTGGGAACCATTCGAGTATTGTTTGATTTGGCCCAGAATACATTTCCCCTTTCAGCTAGTAAATCAATTGAATATTTACGTTGAGATAGATACTATCCTCCGTTCCAAATTAGATGCAACATATCCCAATGACACACAAATTAAAAAAGAGTCATAAAGTAATTTGTTTCCTATTCTACCCTTCTTCTGCACGCGTATTGCTACTTATGTTTTACGGCTCTTGACGGAAGCAACAAACAAGATGAAAAGACAGAAGAAATTTGAGGAAAGAAATTGGAGGAAAGAAATCTCCCACACGTGCCACAGCAGTGAGTTTCAAACTCCTTGAAGATCTAGGAAACATGACGAGAAGGCTAATGTGTAACGGATGAAACCTCCAGGTAGCCGAAGATGCCCTCAGTCGTCGGCGCGGTCGGGAAGCACGTGTCACCGGAGAAAGCGGAGGACCCACTCTGGTCTGGTGCTACCTTCATTGCTGGAGACTCTTTAGGTTGTTGCTGCTAGTCATGAGCGAAGCTTTCAGACGGCCATTAATGGCGGACCTCCAAGGTTGAGCTCTAACATCCGTAGGAAATTACTAGAGAGATGGTAATCATGGCCTAGGCTGTCCTTCATAATTGTTTTTGTTGATTGTTGTGAATGGGGTGAATTTTTAGA